TGTGAGGCTGAAATTTCAGGAGGATGTTTTCTGCCTGTGCATGTACCTCACAAACTCAAATTTAGTTCCCAACTATGCAAAGTCCTTACGTTCGACCAAGTGAGAGTTTTGATGCGAGAGTCACAAGCTCGGAAGCCGGGAAACCGAGAGGTTGGAATTTGAAGGGATGTTCCCCATCCATTTTTTCAAATGCAGCTTTCACGTATCAGCAATGAAATTTTCGTTGGGAAATTCCTCAGCTTAGGAGCCAGACAGCATATCTGTCATTTTCCCACATACGAAAGTGTAAAACAGTTGTATTTTTAGTAGGCAGACATCCGCTGGACGGAACTGCGCATAAAGCGTGATCGCACCGGTTACCCTGGTGCGTGCCGCTATTTATTATGACTTTTACTGTGTGTGCTTATTTGTATCTTTATTTGTAGCGAAGAAGCGATTTCGAGAATTACTGAAGCTAGGAGGCTGAAATTTTTACAAGGATATCCTATCCCTAGGTGCGCGGCCGTATTTATTCTTTACATTATGTGCTAAAAACAGCACTACAAATCAAGCTTGACAAAATGACCTGCACAAAAAATGGAGGAGAGGACGCATTTTACTAATTTCTTGTCATTTTTTCCATGTCTCGTTTTCAGTACGCATACCAGAACCACAAACTAGGCCCCCCCCCACCCCCCTGAACCTCGAGGACCAGTATTTCACAAATCTAGCTGCTGGGATTCCAATTGATTTTACTACAGCGTGAAATACTGCAAAAAAGCATGTTCGCACGGACCCGACTGTGCGTTTCGCCGGTGATTTGTGAGTAATTTTGGGTTTGAGATTTTAAGTAGTCGGGCAGGTAGATTGGATTAGACGGAGAGAGAGACGCGATAAACGGGAAACGTCGGAATCATTTGTCTGCAGCCCTTAAGAGGTGTAAAACTAAAACCGATTTTCACGCAGTGAATTTGAAATTTTCAAGCGTTTTGATTTTTCATATATAAATTAAAACGTTGAGGAAAATTTGGGCCATAATTTTCAAGTTAAACAAGTTAGAGAAACCGAGCCGGTTGGTCGTAAAATCTTGACTTTTTGGCTTCTTCCAGTCAGCCCACCCGAAAAAGCCAATATTTTTTTTCCTCGGAAAGCTGTTGATTCGCGGGGCTTCATTTTTTCAAGTAGCTTTTATTGGGGAAATTCTCAGCCTGCAAAATTTCAGTTTGGTAGCTTTTGTAAAAAACTGGAAGCTTCTCACTGATGGGGATAGGAATGTAAAAGAAAATTCTGGCAACTGGAAACCCGTCTCTTTTGCGGATGCATGCAGAGACACTATTCTCTAAAATATATGCGGAAGCGCTGTCGTGCTTCTTGCTTGATCGAATGAAATTAGCATTGTTTTCACAGCATGCCACTGGTCGATTTATCGCTTTTTTTTTTCGGTGAGATAAGAGAGTTAGAAGGTATGATTTCGATGCAGTCTGTTTAGACAGTGTTTATCAGAAGCTGGCTATGGTTGTAGCTGCAGGCATTTCTGACGCTACTTGCTAATATTGGTTGTCTTCGTTTCTCATTATTCCTTTACATTTAGATTGTTGAAGAGTACAGAGAGGTCGGGTCTTTCCGCAAAGGTACTATGCTTGCGGGCCGTAATATCGCCGATATTGTCGTTGTTTTACGCTCGCTTCCTTCAGGTTGTTATGTTTCAGCTTTTGTCATTCATTGTTTCAACCATAGTTTAGCAACATCTTTCCTGAGGATTAGATGGAGATAAAGAAATCAATGAGCCCAAGATTATATTGAACTAATATCTTGCTATTGGTCAACAGTGCACCAGCGGTGCTTTATCGATGTATGTTTTTATCAGTAGCCATTAGCTGCTAATAGAAGTTTCAATGATTTCT